AGAAAACTTCACCAAGGAAATTAAATTCTAAGGACTAAGATTTTTCAGAAACAGTTTTGGTTAGGAGGCCCACACAACATTGATATACCTAAGATTTTTTTTCACTACTCACACCAAAGATCATTTTTTCTCCTCCTGGACACAATATTATTCTGGCTGAGAATACATGATCTAGGGCTTTCGGAACAAAAGATAAAGATAATAAACCTTTGAGGAATTTTAAGCAGGAGGGTGATATAATTTGGTTTACCATTTTATTTGACTGCTATATGGAAATTTGAATTGAAGGTGAGAAGATCTTAGCTCTTAAAACCCAATTTAATCAGGCTTATGGCCTTATCTTCTTTTCCAAGCCCTCTATTTATGAGACAACACTTCTCTCTCCATGCTGCCAAAACATCAAGTCATGTGTTTGCTGCTTTTGTTTTCAGTTTTCTCTTAGTTATTGGTCCCTGGGGTTCCCCCCATCCCCCACTATCCCACACAATCTTTAAAGCTCAACTATATGTTTAAGAGGTCTGTCATATTTTGTGACAATGTTTTAAAGAGAAGTGTTTTTTAGTGAGAGCATACAGGTACTTACCTTTTAGTCTCTTTTAAACTAGTAAGTTTATTTAGCAATTCCTATGGTGTAGCTTCCTTCCTTCATAAGGGAGATAAGATTCTAACAGAGTCAGTAGAGTCATGCTCACATTCACTGAGGCTACTCCTTTAAATAAGATGGGCAGCTCGTAGTTTATCTTAGAAGCTTCAGGAATTGATTTTTAAAAGGACAATTAAAAGCCACTGCAAATATTTTTCCCTTAAAGTATAGCCAACTGTAAATTACGCTCAGATATATTGTGCAACTGCATGAAATTAAAACATTCCATATTTTCCCACCAAGAAATATGTAAACTTGTTGTTTGATAAGATACCCATTCCCTTGACATTATATATCTCAACAAATGCTCTAATTGGTGAGTTTTCGAGGACCTGGGCATGTGATAAACCTTTCAGTCCCTGTCCCTATCTAGGAGGGCTGTTGTTATTTAGCTCTTCCTATGACTGAGTGAGGTATGATGAAGTCCTTTTGTGCCCATATTTAAGCATGTACTCCAGTTCAGCTTTTATTACTTTTAAAGAGGATATTTTGACTTCCATTTGTGTAATAATTGTGCCTCTGTCTTAAGTGGTTATAAACTTGCAAAGAGTAAAAGCACATTTTATTAGTCCTGTGAAACCTCAACTATAACATTATATGGAGATGTGGCACAGTTTCAGTCTGAAAGGAAAGGCATAAAAGTTACAGGTATGCCAGAACTTAACAATACTTCTTTAAGGTAAATACTCTAAGACAAATACAGAATATGAGTTATTAGGAGATGTATTGTTATCTGCAAGAGAGAAAAGGAGAGTTTCTACAGTGGCAAATTGCATCTCTCTCCAGTAATGACCTAGGGAAAGAGTTGGGGAATTCTGACCACATCTCTTTAATAGTAATGACTATACATAGTAAGACTGATTGATCATATGATCCCATTAATAATCAATAATACAACACCCTTTTCCATTTTAACTCATTTACATTAAAAATTACAATATCATGTTTGAGGAATGGGAAATGGGGTGTGATTTAGCCATGCATTTTGAACAATTTATTTTACTATAGTCATCTGTCCTTTACCCAGACAAGGTAAAGGTGCAAGTCTTATTTGATTCTTACCACCATTTGAACCACCAATTCTGTTTAACTTCCTGAAAAACTCTCTATATGGGATACATGCTGCCTCATTACCAAAGCACCATCTTTTAGCTCTTAGGAGATTCTAACATGAGGGCTCAGGAGTGTTCCAATGGAGTGAAGCTAATAACAAAAATTTATCAACTTTCCTTTGGATAAGTTTCTCATTGTCCAGTGGTCACTTCATAAGCATTATACATTCAGTCTGGGTGGGAAAAGTGCAAAAGATAACACTAGCTAAGCACTATGATATTCCTTGGAAGTTTGTCTTAAGGAAATCTTCAAGAAGACTAGAAAATATGGAGCTATCTTTACTCCTACTGTATTATTTCTCTTACCTTGCATATAATATCTTGAATGAAATGTCAATAAGAGATACTTTAAAATATAGTTAAAATTCAATTAGTTCACACTGCCAGAATTAGAATTAGTAACCTGAATTAGTAGAATACCCTGCTAATTTAACTACAGCTTTTCAAACTCACATGAGACATACTATTCTCTAGTCGCCAGAGTGATCTTGTTAAAACCTAAGACAAATCATGTAATTCCTCTTTTATACACAGAGGAATGGCATCCTGTCACATTCAATGTAAAAACTGCATTCCATTCAACAGATAACAACCTGCAGGGTTCAAAGCTCTCTGACTCACCAACAAGCCTTTTGAAATCACCTGTTGCTATTGGCCACCTTGCTCACTCAGCTCCACCTATGCTATCATCCTGCTTACTCCCCCTAAGACATGCAAGGTCTTCTCCTGATTTGGGGCCTCAGCATTTGTTGCCCTTCTACCTGGAATGTTCCTTCACCCAGGCAGTTGCAGGACCATTTCTTTCATTACCTTCAGGTCTTTAAGAAAAAAATTGAGCTTAAATGAAGTCTTCCCTGGCCATCCTATCTCTCTAAAACTACCTCTTCCCTGAAATTTTGTTTCCCTGTTCTTGCTTTATATTTTTTCTTCTCTGCACTTGTCACTATGAAAAGGCTTTATATTTACTTTTCATGCTACTAACTGCCTCCCACACTGAAATGAAAGCTCTCTGAATATAAGATGTTTTCCATTTGTTTTTGTTGTTGTTCATTAGTGTATTATCAGTACCTGTGTGTAAAGAGTGCTTGGCAGAGGCCACCCAAAGTAAGTATTAGTGGGATGAAGGTAAAAGAATGAATTTAGAAACAACTAAAAACAAGTTAAAAAGGTGTAGATTTCTCTGGGTTTAGTCTCAAAGTCACAAATGCAAATTCCTCCAGGAAACAACTGTGCATATTATTAGAGTGAAGCAGGTGAGTTAGGAGGAGTGGCACACTAGAGAGAGCATTCTGAACATAAAATGGGCCAACTGCTCCCTCAGATCCAGTTGCTGTATCAAGGATGGAATGTAGGCCTAAATTGTTTTGTTCCTCTTCTTATTCTGTTTGGTTTTCAAGAGAAGTCAAAAAGATCTAAAATAGTGGACTCTTCCAAATGTCTAAAATACATAATTTAAAATAGAAAATAATAAAACCCAAATATCAAGCAAATATTGACAGGAAATTGAAACTAGTCACTATGTGTTCTGATGGTGTTGGCTGAAAAAAATCCTGTACTGTATGACAGAATATTAGTTCAGTATACTGAGGTAAGATTACCTTGTGCAATTCTTGAGACAATTAGATTCAAGGTCAGTGTTGAATGGACAAAATGAATTCAATTTTAACCTTCCTTCAATTTCTGGAAGCCCCTTGCTTTCCCCATTATACATGGAGTTTTAGAAGCCTACCAAACTGGGAACGACCAGGAATTTTTCTTTGGGGGCACAAATATTCTTTAGTCAAGGGTGGAGATGCAGGATTGAGAGAAAGTGTTATGAGAGGAACTTCAGATGACCTAGCAAGCCAAAAGAGGACACCGACCCATGCACTGGACACCATAGTTCTGAGGAACTTTATTGAGGTGCCACTGTCTCTCCCCCAAACACAATCCTTCCCTGTGACAATATATAGCCCTTTAACCATGGCATTTACAACACCTGGAAACAAATTGCTGCACAAACTTCAGCAAAAGCTTCCCATGAGTTTAAGGGTACAAGACTAGCCAGGAAGTAGCAGTGATGAGTCAGTATCCATAAACATTGTGGGGGTCTACCTGGAATAGGGATCCTAGAGGCAGAGAGACTCCATTTGGTGGAGAACAGCCACACATGATTTCAGGCAGCTTCTAAAAGAAGCATGTTCAATCAAGTTCTCTCCATACCCTGGAGACACATTAGGTTCAATCCTCTGATTGAGGAGGCAAGGAATATTCCAGGAAAAGGAAGAACAGTGATTGGACTGCTGGATCTTACTTCAGCAATGTTCTATTTTTATGGATAAAGTACTTTCTACCACCCAGAGTTTATGGAGAACCACGTTAGTGTGTTTAGGCTGAGGTTGATGTTCTGCTCAGCAGGTGTGGCATAAACTCCCTGAAACAAGAAAAGCCTTATAGGTATAGAAAGGTTCCTGCTTAGCTTGCCTGAATCATGACTGTCAAAATGCCCTTCGAGACAACCTCCAATGCATCTGTCTTCTTTGACAGTTGCCACTTCCTTTCTACACAGAGCCAGGGAGGGCACTGTGTATATTACCAGGAGTCCAGTGTTTCCCTTGGTGTTCCCATGCCTCCTGGGCTCCAATCTCCACGCCTTCCACTCTGTATTCTCACTCCCTCAGTTATTTGTTATTCCTGGAATTTGTCCTCCCCACACTCATTTCAGGTCATCCTACCCATGCATAGACATTCCCTTCCTGGGTCCTTGAGCCTCTCCACATGTCTCTGCCAACTTGATATTTCTCTCACCTACTCTGGACCTCTTCTAAGCTTCTTTGTGGCTCTCTCTACTTAATTTATTCTGTCTGTTTTCCTCTAAGTCCCAAGATCAAACTCTGCCACCTTCAGTCCCTTCCCAATTGCATGTTTTCCCCTCATAGCTCATAGTCCCTTAGGGAATTTCCCCCTTCTGGCTCCTGTCCACTGCTTTCTAGTTAGTCATTGCCTTCTTCCCTTCCCCCACAGCCCAACTCTAGTTCCTTCCCCTCCCACCTTGACTATATCAGCTAAGTCCCTTTACATTTTTAGATGACTGATTATGATATTTGCTGCACTTTAATCTGTCTGCATTGATAGCTGGTTATTCCTTTCATGCCCCATCCACCAAACACACCCAACCTTTCCACAGAACAAAGTGCTTCCACACAGAGTGTCATGTCCACACAGATTTGTATTTTTCAGAACAAAACAGCAGTTATGCTGGCAAAGATGTTGGGTTATCAGGGACACTTAAAACTTTCAATACATTGAATAGCAGCAATTTTTTTTTTTTGCCGGTCTACAAATTAAATGTTTATTTCCACAATTTGGCAAATTTTACTCTAACAGTTACGACTTTTTCACCAAATCATAGACATAAATGTGGAAATCATCCTCAAACTTGATGAAATACACAGAGGGTTTGGCTTCCACTTGATGAATGACCATGCCGATCCGTTTGGAGCCATCTTCTTTGGTATATTCCACATGTTTACCTATCAGACCATCTACAACTCCTCCTGGCTCCCTCTCTGCTGGAGCAGACCCACTGGACTCTGGCATAACACGGAGGTCACCTTCTTTATAATCGTCTAGAAGCTGGTACATGTACAGGACAGGATCTTTCTCATAGGTAATGTAAAACCAGGCCTTCATGATAGGTGCTTGGGCTAGGACCATCCCCCGCCATTCATCCTTAGAACCATGCTCGCCCTCAAACATATGTTCCACTGCTTTGCCAATTATGGTATTTGCAAGGCGCACATCTGTGACTCGAGGAAATGGCACCTTATCAGAAAGGATTTTAAGCTTTAGAACTCTTTCATCTCTGTGAAGCTCCAGTCCATAGACACAGTCAATTCCATCATATTTCACCAGATAAAGAGAGGGATTTATAGGCACCTGATCCAGGACGATTCCTTTCCACTGGGTGATGGGTTCATTGCCTTCCTTCCATCCATGAGAAATCCTGCAGCCCACAATGCTCCTGCGTAGCTGGGATGAAGGTCTGCCCCTCTGCTTCTTCTGGGAAGCTCTTTTCTTCATCATATTTGCAGACCCAGTGGCACGACCTGCAGCTGCTCTGGTTTGTTGCCCTTCTGCCTCTTGTGTGTTGGAGGTCTTCCTGCCTGCAGGGGAGAGCAGAGGAGATAGAGACAAATCCCCAATGTGCCATAAAGCGAACTTGCCCCTGCAGGGAAATCTCTATGTGCCCTGAGCGCCTAAATTTTTCTCATGAGCTTGTCAGCAATGCTGGAAATCCTGGCTGTATGCCTGTAGTTCTGCAGTTCATTTCTTTCTTTCTCTCTCTCTCTCTCTCTCTCTCTCTCTCTCTCTCTCTCTCTCTCTCTCTCTCTCTCTCTCTCCCTCATTCTCTCTTTTATCCCTTTGGGCTGAGGGGGAAGGGCTGGAGCAGGGTAGTACTGACTGGGATTAGGCCACAGCAGGAGGGAAGACGCTACTCCTTCCTTGCTCAGAACCCCTCCCCCCACCCGTCCTGCCCTCCCCCGCCTCTGGTGCCCACTCTGGAGCCTCTGCAAAGCGCCCCCGCCCCTTCCATTGCCTTGCCCTGCACCACTGCCCTCCTGCCTTGAACACCCTGGCCTGCAGCCCTCTACCCCCTCCCGCCACCCACCCCATCCCCCGCCGCCTATCCCAACCGCTTCCCTGGTACCCACCTCCTGGTTTCTCTGAGCTCATTTCTAAATGCTTGCCTGGCTCCTAATGCCAACCCCGTTCCTGTTGCCCACCGCACGCCTCCACCCCTCCTTTGCCAGGCACCCACCACTAGCCCTTATCGCCTGCCGGATTGCATCCCATCCCCCCTCCCCTTTCTGGCGCCCACCAATGGCCTTGCCCTGCCTGGCGTTCGCTGCTGGGGATCGCGGGCCTCACGTGCCCAAACCGGACACCTCGCCGCTGCCTCTGCTAAGAGGCGGTGGTGAAGGAGTATCAGCAGGCGAATGGCCCAGGGAGTGCTTGCCAGAGCTGAGAGGGGAGGGTCTGTAGGCAAGGAGAATATCTGGGAGAGCGGCGGGGCACGCAAAGAGAGCGGCGGCGGCGGCGGCGGCGTCCCGGTACTGGGCTCCTGGGCCCTCCGCCCTCCTCTTGGTGGAGGGGGCTTCTCTGCCACCTTGGGCTTACACCAACTGCAGCTCCTCCCTCTTTTTGTATAGTATTTGAATATCATTTTCTTGTCAGCATTGACCCTTCCAGTTCCTGGTAAATAATATGGTGCTGACTGCTTTTTTTTTTTGCCCTGGAAGCCCTCTGGACTCCTTTCTTTTCCTGTGTTCAAAACTCTGGCACCTGTAGATGGCTCTGTCTTTCTGCATGGTCCCTTCTAGACTCCCCTGGTCCTTTAGCTCCACCCTTCAGCTCTATTGCTCCATCTGCTTTCTGTCTTTCTGACATTCCTTATTGTTTTTGCATACACACATTTACATATAATTACAATATTCATACATTTATAGAGCATAAATCTGCTATGCTCATAGATAAATATATGTATGTACACGTATATGCATATTTGTACATTCTTTCTTTATTCATAGAGAGACATCTTCAATGACATATCAAATATACAGCTCAATTCAAGCACAATTATGCACAGATACAATTTTCTGTATACATATGTATACTGACAAATGCAAATTAGGTGTTTTTTCAAAGCAGTGTGTAGCTTAAGATATACGCTTAAGCATGAACGTTACGCAGAGGACTCCAATAGCTCTGTAAATAAGAACAATAATTGACAAATGGTATTGCATCAAGTTAAAAAGCTTTTAAACATCAAGGGAAACAATTACCATAATAAATAGACGACTTACAGAATTGGAAAAAATCTTTGCTAACTATGCTTCTGGCAAGAGATTAATATCCAGAATATATAAAGAACTCAAAAAATTAAAACACCACAAGAACAACTGGCCTAACAATAAATGGGCAAATAAATTGAACAGATAGTCCTCAGAAGAAGAAATAGAAATGGCTAATAAATAAATGAAGAAATGTTCAATATTCATAGCCATAATGGAAACACAAAACAAAATTGTGTTGAGATTCCAACTCACTCCAGTACTAATGGCTGCCATCAAGAAAACAAATAATTAAAAAATGCTGTTGAAGATGGGGCAGGGAGTGAATTTTTATAAGCTATTGGTAGGAATGTAAATTATGCAATTCTGTAAATTTCATGAGAATTGTTGATGGGAATGTAAGTTATAGAAATCAGTATGGAGATTCCTCAAAATGATAAAAAATATAACTATCATATGATACTGTGATGCCACTCTTGGGCTTATATCTGAAAGAATGTAAATCTGCATATACTACAGATACCTGCACTCCCATATTTATAGCAGCATTGTTCCCAATGTCCAAGCTATGGAAACAACCTAGGTGCCCATCAATAGATGAGTGGATAAAGAAAATATGATATATAAACAAATGGGTTATTATTTAGTCCTTGAGAAGAATGAAATCATGTCATTTTCAGGAAAATGAATATTGTTAAGTGAAGTAAGCCAGGTTCAGAAAGACAAGTATCACGTGTTTTCTCTTATATGCAGAAACTATACATAAAAAATATGACATGAATGTAAATCAGGCCTCTTTGGGGGGAAGAACCAGTTGTAAGGGGTGAAGTAAACAAGATGATGTGCAGTGACTATGAACAAAGTATATTTTACACATATATGAATATAGGATTCTAAGATTCATTAAAATTGTAAAAATAATGGTTATGAGGGGATGGGTTAAGAAAGAATAGAAAGGCTAAAAATTACCAAAGAACGTTACATGCACAGATGGGACCATCACAATGAAATCCCATTGTACAATTAATATACACTAACAAAAAGCAGTAGGTTGGCATATATTAGATTTGAAAACCTAGTGTTGAATTAGTGCCTCACTTTAAGCTTAAACAGTTATTTTTGAATTTGGTTGAAATTTAAAATAAGCTTTATTTTTTCACAAAGTGATGTCATTTTGAATTTTGGTACACTTTTCAGGTTGCTTGCAATTTTTGCACAATACCCTCTCATTCTGAAAATAATAAAAAGTATTAGCATCCTGTATCAGGATGTTTTCAGTTACATATAAGAAAACAAACTAAATTTGGTTTACAGTAAAAGGAATATATTGGCTAATGTATTTGACAAATACATGTTACATAGGCTTAATTTATGTGCTCAGTGTGTAGATTGAATTATAGCCCCACAAAACTTATATGTTGAAGTCTTAGCCTCCAATTAATCAGAACATGACTGCCAATGAAGATTGAGCCTTTAAAGAGGTAATTAAAGTAAATACACACAAGTGTATGGGTCTTTATCCAATATGACTGTTGTTGTTCTTATAAGAAGAAGAGATTAGGACAGAGATACACACAGAGGAAATATCATATGAATTCAGAAGGAGAAAATGAACATTTACAAGTCAAGGAGAGATGTTTTAATATTATGTACTCATGTTTGAAAATGGAAAAATGAGACCTGTTGGAACTATTCTAAGAAGAGGGTTGGAGGAAGATTAAGGAGAATGATGGAGGGGGTGAGTTTAACTATGATACATTGTAAGCACTTTTGAAAATGTCACAGTGTACCCCCAATACAACAATAATATAACACAAATTTTAAAAATGAGAAAAGTAAAGAAAAGAAAAATTCCTGAGCTCCTTTTTGAAATAGCAATAATAACATCCATCTTGATTTTTGAAAAGGACTTCAATTTGTTTGTGTGTTTATGTACTTATAAAACCATGCATTAGGCCCTCTGGTGTGGAGTAGCTTATAATACAGTTTAGGACCAGATATTAGTACAAAGGAGAATAAATTTCAAGTTATCATACAAATAACAAAATAATAACCTTGCTGGTAACTTGGCAGGGACTTATAATCTTCACAAGTGTGGGAAAATAAATGTGTCATTGAAGCCACTTAGTCAGTACTACTTTATTATGGTAGCCCTAGTAAACAAATATATGCAGTGATGTCACCAAAAATCTAATTCTCTTTTGTCTTCTATTTTCTCTTGTCACTTTTACTGTAAAACTTACATTTGAATATGGTTATTAGCAACTTTGGGAGATAGGTGCTTTCTAATTCATATCTACTGGCAGAGGGCCACTTTTCAGAAACTTTTGATCCAAATTATTTGCTTTAGATTATATCATCATAGGTTTCCCTTCCCTCATAATATGGCCAATGAAAATGTTGTGCCCAATTATTTTAGGTCCAATCTATATAAAAAACATATATATTTGAGAACCATCATATTACTAGAGTAGAGCCATTTGAGAACCAACCATATTGCCAGAGTAGAGTAATTTGGCTAATATGCATATGATAATGAAGACCCACTCTGAATTTGAGATGGGGTCAATCTCACAAAGTGGTATGGGCATTACTCAATCAAGGAGGATTAAAATGGAGAGTAATGAGGTAATCAACAATGTCCATAGCATGTATGGAAATATCACAATGAACGTTTTTTGTACAACTAAAATATGCTAATAAAATGTTTAAAAAACAATGTACATTGCAATTCCAATTATAATTTTGAAAGATAATTGAAATTTTGTGTTGTTATTACAAAATTTATGCTCTTTGTTACTATACCCACATATGCCACTGCTGATTGAAAGTTTGTTCATGTTTCTTTGACTAGGTCATAGCAACTCACCTTTTTAAATCTTTTTCTTTCTAAATTCTTTCAACTTGCTATTGCATTTAATATCATTTCCTGTGACAGCATGTATTTGGGGCTCACTTAAAAAATTCTCTCCCAGAGAACTAGATCAGTACCATTTGGTTATATTTTCATATTGATAAGTTTGAATTATCTAGCCCTACAAAGATAGCCACTAGGTTTAGGTAGATAAGCATATTAAATATTCAGGTTGTCAATAGTGTCCTTCTACTGAAAGATAGATTTCTATGCATTTTTGTTTAGGGTCATTGTCTCCAAACAGAATCTGTAACAACTGATGAATACTAGCCTACATGACTTTTTTGGCAATTAAGGTGATACAGGAAGCTTTTATAATAGGCCCACAGGTACCTAAAGTAAGGAATTTGTTTTTATCTTAGACTGCATTTATTCCATTACCATGACAGCCAAAATCTGATGGTCCCCTAAACATGGACCACTGAAGTACTTCTTTCCCAACTCTCTACACTTATCTCACCTTGTGCCATTTCCACACCTTACAAACCATAGAAGTTTTAAGATCAGATCTATTGCTCTTATGTTCTTTTCCTTTAATTCTATTTATTCCTTTCTTAAAGTGAGCACCTACATCTTGCCATCACTGTCCTTTGAGTTCCTGTTTTACATAATTACATGTTTCCTGTTCTCCTTTAAAAACAATTATTACATCTCAGGTTCATCCAGAAATCTTTAGAAATTCATAGTGTTAGGTCCCTGGCATTTTTGGGGCAGGCGGAAGGTCCCGAGGCTAGCACTGAAACCAGACCCCTTGCCCAAATCCCCTGTTTGTTTCTCTGCTTGAAAAACACCTCAGGAATTTCCAGTGACTCAACTAGCCAGGCATGTCTACCTATTTCATCTGGTAATTGCAGATAATCGGAGACCAGAGACTCTTTCCCTCCCCCATGGCTTGGCCCCTCTTATAAAGCCCACTACCCAATTCAGCCAAGCCACTGCACTCTGAACCCAAGAGTGACAGTCCTGTGGTCTGGTTCCAAGGAGTCTTTCTTTTCCACACGTGCCGTGGTCTTTATTTGGCAGTTCCTTACATCTGGTGCCAAAACCCAGGAGAGGTTAATAAGACACTACATCAATCTCTTCTCCCACCTTATCCTCCCATGACTCAGATCCCCCTTCTTCCACCGCTGCTGGCTCTCCCAAACATCTGCCACCCTATTCCCCTTCTACAGTAGTCACTATTGACCCTGAGCCATCTGCTCCTCAGGAACCAACACCGCCAGCCTTGCCTTCAGCCCCTGCTACTCCCTCACCCTTCTGCTCCCCACCTGCACTCTATACCCACTCCCATACCTCCTCCCAAGCATGCCCAGCCCATCTACATGCTCACCTGCCTCCTTGTGGGGCTACAGACTGCTTTCCATAGGGCAGTCAATTTTGATAAGCTTAG